CTGCGCATCGTACGACAAAGTATTGTACAAATGTGAGAGGTCAGTCGGGTCACTGGAATCGATGTTATCAGAAAAATTACGAATTGTTCATAAGTGAAAAGATGTTTTCTAAATGGATATAAAATATGTCAAGATAAGATAGAAACGTGAAGATAAAATCAACGTAAAAAATATCATAAATTGTATTGGAATAAAATTGTGAGAATATTAACACTATATTTATCAATACTGATAAATAAATCGATGTGTATCAAATTAAAAAATTATTATTTATACGTCAATAAAATTATTGTATTTATATCAGATTTGGATACACATATTCCTTTAAAAATTATAATTTCGGTATTTTTTACGTTTATATTTTTCATGTTATAATTATTCTATTTATATGTATATCAAATTTTGTATAAAACTGTATAAAATGATGTGAAAAAATGTAATCTGGCAAAAAATTAAAATTGATGATAATTTTGCAACTATTTTTTTCATGTATAATTATTATGCATAAATATGCAATAATTGCAGAAATTATGAAATATTCACAAATTATTTGACTCGATGTAGCAGTTATTTAAAAATAAAATTAAAATTTTAAATAAAAATCAGGTAAAAATTCGAAAAGCTTACATTTTGAACTACCAGATATAACCAGATCAAACTATTAGCATTTTTGTTCGCACTTTTACATTTATATTTTTGCGATTTATATCCTTAATTCTTGTCGCATGAAACGCATATACTGTACTTTTAATATTTAATGTCTTAAGCCATTACTGTTAGTCTTGGACTATTGGACGTTCAAATTTTCATAAACATAAAATATATAATAGAACTCCCTTTGGATTTAAAATAATTTAATCCCTAAAAATCTCAGTTTCTCAAAGCGACAGACTTTTAATTTTTTAAATTTTTAAATTTGAACATGGTAATACACTCAGTTTTTTAGATGCTTTTTAAATAAAACAATTGTTTGAAGAGGGTTGTAAAGAAACGTCTTTCTCTTTTAAACGTTTCTTAGAAATCTTTTAATTTTTATGTTTTGATCTTTTATTTACTTTTTATTCTAAGCCACGCTTTTTTTCTTTCAGCTCTAAATGAATATTATGAATTTATGAAAACCTTTGTTTTTGCAAACTTTTAATTGTAAGACTGTAATTTTTACAAACTTTTAATTCTAAGACTGTAATTTTATACAAAATAATATTATTTCACTTATCACATCGTATATCCAATTATACCTCTGCTCATGTATAGCTTATACGTAATGTGAATATTTCCTTGACTTATTTAAGATGTTTGATATGTGCGAAAGTGTAAGTGTTGATGCCTTGGATAAGATTTATTGGTCAAGAATGATAAGAGATCTTGAGAAAAAATCAACGCAGCACCTCTTTCGGTAATTATGTGAGAATGTATCTAACAAATAGGAAATAAAATCCATAAATAACATCTTCAAGACTCACATATCAGATCAATGTAACTTCAGATGCAATTTTTATCGTACTTTTTGACTGAGAGTAAAATTAATGTAGAAAAATGAGATCTTGTTGTTAACCAACATCGACCGATCAGCAGCTGCTGTTGCCTGTTTTTCAAAGGGAATGTGAAGGGTGGATCAATAATAGAATGGGGGTTGGCTGGGATTTCTCAGCGCCATCCCTCCATATTACATCGAACTAGCAACTGTTGCTTCATCCCTTACCTTTTTCTTCGCTGATGAGCTTTAACCTTAGCTAATCCGTTTAAGTTTATTTGATCCATTTTTATTTTTAAATAAAAAAGCTTTGAACTTCGAGGTGTTATTATTTTCGATTACAGATTATGACTCTGCTGGGTAATCTTTCATTTTAATTAAATACATATTTATCCATAATGCAAACAAAGATTTACACGCCTGCGTTGCATATTAAAAATATATAAATATTAGAATATATTGAAATATGTAAAAATCTAGTTTTTAAATTCATATTCAGTGTATTATTATTAAAGGTAGAAAACAAACGACAATCGATTCGGATTATAATCGGATTATTATAGTCGAATGCGTAATTAAAACATATATTTTGTTGTAAGATATTTTTTACATATTCCAAAAAAGAAAATTGTGTTGTTCGAAATGCAACGCAATTGACTAAAATAAAATAATAGTAAAGATATTTTCACGTAAAAAAATTCTGTAATATCTGTTTTTAAATATCACTTTATAATTTTGTTGAATCTAATAAATACACATATAAAAGTAGAAAGTTTGCTCTCTCCTCTTTCATCTTGAATTTTATTTTGAAATAAGCTGAAAACAGCAATCTGTTTCTCCTGTATTTACCGACTGTTACCGACTAGATATATTGCGTTTCTATATCTATTACAACACGATTTAATTTCACCTAGATTGACCTATATATCCAGTCTGATGTTACAACATGTTTTAGATCAATTAAAAATAAAATAGTTTAAAGCTATCAATATTTTTTTATATTTTCAATAATCAATAATAACTTTAACTATCGATAAAATTAGTAATAATAAAAATTTAATAAAAAGAATATTTATCTTTCTAAATCGTGATTTACGAGTGTTGAAAATTTTTAACTAGAATTTCCTAAAAAGATACCTTTTTCTTTTTTATTTTAATTACATTTTTGTTAAATTTATCGCGAACGATACAAATCTACTTTCCTTTTTTGTCTGTTCTGTTCATTTCTTTAAAATACATGTTAATTATGGAGTTGGCTTATAACTTCATAAATTTGCTTCACATCGCTGAATATACATAAATTTTACTTTATGTGTCAGAAATAATGGCGATCGTTCGTTATCATATTATCAATGTAAGTAGCTTTATACAGTTAACTCCATTGCACATAATATTCTAATAAATACTAAAATTAACATATATGAATTATAGTTGTAATAAAATGTTTGCTTTAATACAGAGTGTATACAAAATTGATTTCTTTTATTTTATATAAATAAATATTAAATAAGGTTTCAAATATATCAAATTATTCCTTTCATATATCAATTCGCAACTAATTTTTATCAAAAACTTTGGCGTTCTTCTTCTCTCTCTCTCTCTCTCTAAATTTATAAAAGAATCTACACATAAAAGATGACCATTAGGAAAATACCTAATAGAATATATAAATTTTATTATTTTATTATTTAAAGTAAAAAGTTATCATAAAGTTTTTATATTCTCCTATGAAACAGCAAATATTAGGGGGACCGGAAATTAATGTCGTTTCTGCGCATATCGATATTCGTTTGTGATTTATCAGCTCATTGTGTACTTCAAAGTCGTGCCAAAGACATTTTAAGGTTAAAGTGACTTGTTTACTCGTAAATAATTAAATCTTAATTTTTTTTTGCAATTTATGGTGAAATGGCCAGCCAAATACCAGAAGAGGTACATATCCGGCATTGTATGCTTTTTGAGTTTCACAAGGGTAGTAACGCAACGGTTGCTACCAAAAACATTTGCGATGTTTATCCAAATGCATTAGACGTTCGTAAATGCCAAAGGTGGTTTTCTAAGTTCAAATCCGGTAATTTTGATCTTTCCGACTCGTATCGATCAGGATCATCAATTCCATCTCCAGATATTTTGCTCAAAAACCAATTGATTTTTATCGATCCGGCATTGAAAATTTGCACACTAGATGGCAAAACGTTGTTGATAACAAGGGTGATTACATCATTGATTAAAAATAAAAACTTATTAAAAATTTATCTGTTTAAATTTAATGTAAAAAAACGACATTACTTTCCGGTCCCCCTAATATTTAGTAAATTGTATTTATTAGGTTATGTATAATTTTAAACTGGATATCACTGCAGATTCTTTTTTTTAACAGTATAAATACATCCTAAATGAATTATACGAGAGCAGTTCTATGTATGTAGTTGATATTCCTTTATACTCTAAGAAAAGCGGTTGAGGTCAGAGATATCGTCGAAAGTCGTATCTATGAAATTGAATGAATTATCGAACCCCGATATAGAGTTTGCAACTCTCTCGATTATATGAAATCGATTCGAGTTTTTAAACGATCGAAAACAAAAATACTTATTAGCCAAATGTAAAGAAAACGAAAAAGTTCTCTTTTGTTGCATCATGTTCGACGGACAAATCTTGGCTATCTCTCTCTTATAAGATTTTGAAATACTTTATAATGGAAAAAATCCACTTGAAACGATCTCTGATTCTCGAGATTCGAAATACAAATCGATTTTTTGATCGCTTCTTCTGCTAAAAATTTTTATAGAAAAAATATTTTCTATAAATATACTATAAATATAATATTTCATAAACGACAAATGAACGACAAATAAATTTATCTAGAATTTTCAATTTAAGATATTAAAATATGTGATGTACATTTTTATTTGTACATTTAATGATGAATAATATATATGTAATAAGTCGTATGTATTGTACTAGATTTTAATAGGATTTTTGCATGATGAAAAGGGTTAACATTAAAAACAATAAATCTTTCATATCACACCATATGTTTTATATATCACATGTACATACATACATATATATACATATATATATATATATATGTATATATATATCTTTTATTGCAGTAAATATATATATGATTCGGATAACATAATATAATATATTTATCAAAAGTAATATATATCTCATGAAAACTTATATATTCATTCAAGTTTCTTAAAACTTATGTTACATTTATATTTTTATTGAGAAATTAAAACTATTTAGTAAGATTTACTCTTTTTCTTAGAAACACTCGCGATGTAGAGTCTAATTTTTGTCTTTATATTGAGATTATAGCTAATATTGATAGTTGCAGGAAGATTTCTATACTGATGGTATATTAAAATTCCCTTTTACCCCATTATCCCTATTACCTCCAATTCACCTCATAATTTATCTCATAATTCCTCCCTCATAACACGTCCCATTGCGCAATTATAAGTAATAAAAATGTAGAAATGTAGATAAAAGAAATGCGTCAGGCGAATGGTCAAGAGACTATCCTTTTTCATCTTCTTATCACGTTCCCAGTCAAATTATATACACATAGATAGCGCAATAAACACAAATGCAATACAATGTTTGAATAGATTCTTAAAGCTGCATCATTTCTACGGATTCGCGTATAAACGGTAGCAATTTGATTTTCTCAGTAACATAATCCAGGAAAAATCTCACCATTTCAACATTGTTATAAATGAAATATAATACACCGAAGTAAAACAGATATATTGTTGTAATATGGATAACGTACATCCTGAAACAAATGTGCTTCATAAAATATGATAAAAATAACATAATTTAAATAAAAAATTTAATTAAAAAAATTTAATTAAAAATTTTAAATAAATAAAAATACATATTAAAGTTCCAAAAAAATGTAAAAAGTTAATTTCAATTTGAATCAATTCAAAGTTTGAGATCTTAATATATATTTAGATTTAATCCAAGTTTAATTTTATTATAATGTTTAATTAATATATTATATAATTTAATTTATTTAATTTTATAATTTAAAAATCTCAAAAATAATTTTCTCAAATTAAAAAAAAAATAAATTAAATTGTTGTTGCATCAAAAGCAACATTGCAATTAAATGTAATTTATACAAACATGAAACCGATAGAAAATGTATTTGTCACATTAAGATGAAAAAACATACAGTTATATAAAAAATAATTTTTTAAACAATTAAATATTCAGTTTTTTTACTAGTTTCTTCTTTTTTATATGATTAAATATATTTCCGTAAGAATGTAAAAAGTATTATTAATATATTATTAATATACAAAGATTCCGCAAATTTTATAATTAAATAGTATATCTACTTATCTCTTTTATTAAAAGATTTGTCGGTAAATGTTTACCGATAAATGCTTTAGATTACACAGCAGCAAACGTAAACAAAAAATATAAACACACAAGTAAAATATAATATGAAACCGTGATGAATAAATGTAAACAAAAAATGTAAATACATAAATAGGATATAACGAAAAGATAATATAAAAGTATGAAAATTCAAAAGTGCATATCTCAGAAACGAAAAGAGACCGCCCTCAAAATTCAAACGGTGTAATACTTAGGAATGTATCCTCTACAACATATGTGGAAAAATAAAAATTTTTCGAGCTGTGGTGAAACCTAAAGTGAACATGTACCGATTTATTTTATTGTTTGTGCATATTTTGAAGATCTCTAAAAAATGACTCAGCAAATTTTATTCCTAGTAAATAACATTGTTTAATCGTACAAAAATATCGCGAGAGATATAATAAATTTATATAAAGACTATACTCACATTTTTTGATGCCGACGGGCTTTCGGCAAAGTAGACAGATCTTCTTTCATGCAGTACTGTCGCGCGCCAAGGACTATGTGCTTAAGGTATTCCGTTATATCGACATTAAAAACTAGAGGTGGAAATATTTCTTTATCTAATGGTGATAACTCGTCCACGCACAAAGCAATTAGCTTTTTATTATAAAATATCCATTGCCGCGTGGTGAAATATTGCAGTACCGCGAGACCGTTTAAAATTCGATTTTGGAGTCTGACCATGCTATTTGTAAAAATAACAAAAAAAGATAATAGTTAAAAAAATTTATACAGTTGCATAATATTGTGCACTTACATGTAAGAAATCAATAGATAAAAATCGAAAAAAATATATAATAGCTAAAATATATAATAGCTAAAAATATTAAAAAATATGAAACTTACAATCTCTTCTGTCGAAATATCAGCATCAGAAAGTCAATAAAATATGCAGGTATGATTTGGAAGAAAAAAACGAAAATATTATGTATAAATTTATTGCTACGTATGTCGCCATCTGGATACCAAACTTGTCCCTCGAAAGGATATTCATAAATAACTTCCCTACCCTTGTCCAATATTTCGCCCCATGTGATAGGCGTTGAATCGCTTTGCGTTATATTGAACACGGGTATACTTTTCGAACTATAAATGGTAAATCAAAGAGAGAGATTAAACAAAAAAATTAATATTTTTGTTTATTTATTACTTATTAAAATAAAATGTAATAAAAATTTTTAAACATCTCTCTCTATTGTATAATATTAAAAAATTTAGAAATTGTGATAAATTCAAATATTTAATAAATCAAGTCAACAGATCCAAGAAAAGTTTAAAATTTTTTGAAAAATTGGAATAACTTTAACAATTTAAAATATTATACATCTTAATATCAAAAATATTTTAAAGAACATAGCAACAAAAATAATTGTCTCTATCACGAGCATAATATGAGATAATAGAAAAATTCCACTTTAATTTAAATTATGATCATAATGATTCCAATGTTATAATGAAAAGTTTGAGCAAAATGAAGATACTTACTTTCTCAGGCTAGTAGCAGTTTTGTATGCAATTATAATTAAATTATTAATCGCAAAATCAACCGGTATAACTTCAGCGTTATAATTGCCGTTACAATGCATTGATCTAATAACACCCTTGCCGCCACCGACAAGCAAACCTATAGGTCCATTCAAATTGTCGACCCATCCTGGAAATGGCTCCTTATAAGAAGGTATCACTACAATGAGATTAATTTTTATACTCTTTTTTATACACAACCGCCAAAATATTTTTTTATATTCTTTTATAATTAAAAGATATACCGATAATTACCAATCGATGGTCTAGCAATGCTACACGGCAGATTAGGAAATTCGTTCGCTACTAATGTTTCAGCCAGACGTTTCGAATATGTATAAGTATTTGGATGCGGATGTAGTAATCTATAAAAAAATTGTAAAAATAAACACGCAAAACCTCATGTACCATTAACATTTACATATACAATTAAGAAAGAGAAATAACTCGATTAAATCTAATTAATTTGATCTAAGTTTAATTTGATTTAAGTTAATTTATTTATTAATATTTAGTTATTAACATTAAATATTTATAAATGTTACACTGTTGTTTATTAATATTCTTACATCATATTATATATATATATATATATATATATATATATATATATATAATTATTAGTTTTAATTTTAAATATTTTAAATAGTTAATAAAAATTCATAATTTAAAAAATATAATTAATAACTTAATAAAATATCTTTGTACGTGTCAACGCTTACGCTGAATAATTTTAATTATTAAAATCACTGATTTTTAATTACTTTGGCGTAATAAAATCGATCGAATTTTCATCCAGCCATTCAATGAGTCTCATGATATCATGAGGATCATCAGGGGAATTATATGTCCGCTCGCCTAATTCCTTCTGGTCGACGTGACAGAAGGCTGTGCTTAGATGCACAAAAGCCTCTAGATGTTTCATTTCTTTTGCCAAGTTTAATAGTCTTTTTGTACCTATCTTGAAAATCAAATCAAACATTTTCAAGTTTCTTCTATATCATCAAGAAGTATACATTGCAAAATTAAGCTTAAAAGATATATTTTGTCTCGTTATTTGTAAATTTGACTAATTTCTATATTGCTTTTACATATTTAAGACTTCTTAAAAGTAAATATCTTTCTTTTCTATAAAAATGTGTTATGAGCATACAAAGTTTAAAAATAATATTGTAATCAGAAGCTGTACATCCAATGCAATAATTAATAACACATGGAAAATATAAATGTAATTGTTCAAATTAACGTTATTATTATTAGATTTAGATTTCTTTATAAAGATTAACATCTTACCATGTTCATTTCGACGGCATCTTTCAATTTCGCCTCTAATCGAAGAGTCGCAGCGCAATGGAACACCAAGTTTACTTCATTTATTAGAAGCTCACGCTGTTCATCAGTAAAGCCCAAATTGTCCGAACATATGTCACCGTTAAGTGGTATCACTTTCTTCAAAACTTGAGGCTTCTCAGTTCGTATTCTTTGAAATAGCTATATGTACAAATATCAGTTCTATTTATTAATCTTCTGCATATGTATCATTTAAAAACATTTATTTAAATAATCTCATTGATATTAAATATGTTTATATCCAAATTTAATAATATATTGTAATATTGTCATTTGTATGCGTGATTGATACATTATATGTCGAATAATATAACAATATCGTTAACTCTTTGTAATCTTATTTATATATCTTGAAGTAAAACTATTTAAATTATATAGAATTTTATAATTTTTATATATAATAAACTATAAATTAAAAAAATATAAAAAAATAGAGAGAGTGAGAGAGAGGTGGAAAGAGAGAGAGAAACACATTTAATATTTGTGTGTGTGCGTGTATAACACATTTTATCCCAAAAACAAATTTTATATTATTTTTAAAAATGATTAAAAAATATTCAAAAAATCTAAGTGAAAATGTACAAATATGTGTTGGAATTCTTATAAAAAAATATTTTAGACTATTGCAACATCATGTTGCGTAATATTTTCTTGATATTGTGGCAAAAATGAAGATAATGTAATGCAAATATCTTACAGGTAATTTGAATATATCTTCAAGTCGATTGTCGAAACTGCGACCTCTCTTGGCTCGCATCAAAATATAGATTTTGTTGAGATCAGAACAGCTGTATAGCAATTTTTCTACAAGAACCTTGCCCATGAAACCAGAAGCACCAGTAATAAAGATGGTCTTGTCTGTGTAGAAAGATTGAATTGTAGATCTTGATTCGGCCATGGCTGAAATTTATCATATATTGTGAAATTTGTGGTCAAAAGACAGAAAAATAGAAAAAGTGAAAGTGCACTTTATTATACGGTAAAACATGTAGAAAACCGCACAAATTCAATTTGCAGTGCAATATTTATAGCTTGTACTGTTACACAACTACGTGAAATATACATTGTTACACACATCTCTTTAAAATCATCGTATTATGTTATTTTACCGCAACGCGGTAATCATTTCCAAAAATTATTTAAAATTATTTTCGTAAAAATTATGAAAATGTCTGTGCAAATAAGAATCATAATAAGAGAAAATTGAGGATACGCCAACTTTTTTGTATTTAAATAATTATAATTTTGTAATCTGATTTCCATATCTCTATTGAACACTAAAGTTTTTTTAATATTGATTCGTACACAAGTAAACATACGGCGGTTATTTTCTCATTAAAAAAGTTATAAAGAAGATTATTTAAAATCATATTGTGTCACATTTTCATAAAATTTTAAGAATGCATTTGCATCTTATATAAATGATTTTTAATATCGACGAGCGAATGGAGAATATATACGTTGCGGATTATTACTGAAAAAATTGTGAAAGACTGTAATGCATATTAAGTAAATACATTCGAGGCTCGAGAGATTGTTTTTTAACCTTGGTAGTAAACCTTTTCGAAGCCAATAAAGAGATCATGAGTATCTGGGGTAATTACTTTTACTAAAAGGGCCATGAAAGAAGATTATGCAATATCTACAAGTGTTGCAATATATATTATATTCGAATATATAATGCACAAATTACTTATATTTAAGTTAAGAGTTTTTATAACTTTTTATGTATCTAAAATTAATTTTTAGATTACAAAGTTTTTTAATGCAATATCCATTTTACAAAATACAAACACATAAGATATAATCGTAACTAATATTAATAGCAAGCAATATTAACATGTAAATTAATTTTTTTTTACAAACTTATATAAAATGTTTTGTCACTTTTTTCACGAAATTAAAAGCCATGAATCACATATTTTGTATCTTTTTTAAATTTTATTTATTTTGTAGTAATACATGTCAATGTATGTTTAATGTTAAAAGTTTAAATTTTAAACAATCTTCATGAGCGATAATAACAATAATGTTTCAGCGATTACACTTGCCACATATGCATTATTAGATTTTAAATTAGTGTTGATAAAAAAAGAACAGAAAATATTTATTGACATTGATGATACAGTGTCAATCAAATTTAATATATTCAGACATTACATATAATGCAAAATCGAAATTTGCTACATTTGTGTAATTAATAGTATGCATCAGTTAAAGATATATATCGAATCTGCATTACGTTTTCGTGATCATTATGCACCTTGCACTTTCACTCTTTTCGCACGGACGAAATTATCCAAAATGATAGGGTATTGATAAATGAAGTTGTTATGTCGTAAAACTGTATTACCTCTCCAAAATGTGCCATTCCCTCTTTAACATTTTTTTTTATTCCATTCCATTTCGATTCGAAAGGAAAAGTTGCATATACATATAAATAACCATTATAAGATTTTCGTAATCAGAAGTGACAAGTCTATAATCGATGATGACATAAAAACAAATATATTTAGTTTCGAATTATTAACATTATTCCTTTTTTCTCAAAATTGCTTAAAAGAATATTAGAAATGCATAGATGCATAATTTAAAAATATGGAAATTAAGTAAAAAGATTGTGAACTAAAAAGTTTATAGAAATTTATAAAAGTTTACAAAATTTGTTAAAGTCTCGCAGAATTTCTATCATTAAATGTTCTTTATTTTGAATGATTAATAGTTATCATTTCTTAGATTTATAAAAACGTAATAAATACATAAATTAAAGTTGTATATAATTATTAAATAAATACATAAATTAAAGTTTATATAATTATATGATGTATAAAAGAATTATATTATAGCATCACACCATACACACACAGATTTAATTTAGCACAAATAAAGTTACATTTACTATATTGATTTGATTAGAGACTAAGTTATTAACGTAATGTTCGACTGTGCATGAAAGAGTTACTTTTCAAACAAAATAAATTTGAATAAATTTGAATAAATTTGAATAAATTTGAATAAATTTGAACAAATTATTCAATTTAAAATCGTTCAATTCAAAATCATTCCATATATATTGTATAGGGAATTCTTGGAGCTAATTATATAAGCTTTGAGTACATAAATTAACACATAAGCTTCATATTTTTTATTGCAAGAATAACAAGAAAAACTATATTTGTATACCCAGCAATAGAAATGTTTTAACTTTATGCACGTACCAAAGCATATATGCATTTATGTTTCTCCAGACATTTAAATTCATGTGTTAAGACATTTAAATGTCTTAACACATGTTTCCTGTGTATTTCATATATATAATTGAATTTTTTATTTAAAAAATAGCGTGAATGAAAAGAAAATGTTATTGCATAAAAAAATAGTGCTACTTGTATACATAATTTTTCGTTTTTGAACTCATTTAAAATTTTTTATTTTTAGCAATATCAAAATATAAGAAAAAATTAGATATACGTGTGTGATTTGATATTATGTTTTGATTATTTTATTAAATTTTACAAATTTCTTGAAAAAAATGTATATAAATTTGTCGTTAATGCGTAAAGTTAAAATTACAAAATATCTATTAAAATTGAATGTATATACTTAATAACATTTTCTTAATTTATTTATTCGTTTTTTTACATAATCAATATATACTTTTACATAATTAATTGGAATTATTGCAGAGATTATAATGATCATATTATATAATACCCATAATTTTCTAAAAAAATGTAATAAAACGGCAAAATTTTCTATCATCTGTACATCTTCATCCAATGAGGAAAATACATATTTCTATCCACTACTACGCACATAATACGCAATATGCATGCAATTTAAGCATTACGTCACATGCCATATAAGAATTTGTATGTTAACGTATAACGATAGTTTACAGAAGGAACAAAGATACCATAAACTCGAATAGATAAATCAATATGGCATGAATGGTCTCATTCATAAACGAACAAATATCAAATATGATTTCTCTAAATTTCTTAGAACGATAATGCACTCGAAGAATTGAGTGACTGGTCGAATCGTTCTATAATAGTTAGAGTGATTGTTTACTTATAAAAGTCAATTCTTCCTACTTTTCCTACTGAAAAATTCACTCTGCAAAATGGAGTAAATATGCATAATATACTATATTTTGTAGAGCAAATATTTTATTTTCACTTTATATAGTGTAGAGTGAATTTTATTCGTGAAGAGAGAGTGAAACGCATGTGAAGTGCACATAAGTCTGCCGTTAGCAAAAAAAAAAAAACTGTTGTATCATTATCCTGCAGCGTTACTAATTCGTTGCATATGTACTTGGTATATGAGACATATATTAAAATGACTTTTATACATCTTTTTATTTCAACATATTTCATAAGATTAAAAATCTATTTTGTTTTGTATAATGATATGGCTGTGACAAGTAAAGAAAGATTTAATCGGTTTTTACACTGAGATAATGATAAATAATGATAATAATAATGATAATAATAAATATATGTATATGACGTGAATTCGATTTTGAAATGAGAAATAATTATTGTTTTTTACTTGATCAAAAGTGTACATCGCATATAAAAAGTTCTCAGTATTAAATTATCTTATAATTATCTTATAATTATCTCTTTTTGTACAGTTATCTTGTATTGTGCGATGTACAGCTTCGATTAAATAAAAAATAATGATTGCTTTTTATTTCAACTAATCGAAGTTTCACGCCATATATATATATATATATATATATATATATATATATATATATTAACATATTTGTGTATATATATATATATATATATATTAACATATGATTGTGTACAACATTTGTTATATACATATTATTTGTTAATATATAAAACGGCTTAGACAGCTTAGACGAGTCCTTACGAATAAATCTGTTTATTTGTAATTGAGTAAACAGTTATTAACGACAGTGATGTCAGTGATCGACTTTGATCGAATGAAGTATTTACTGAGACACGTTTACTTACATTCAGAGAATGAAGTATGAACCGAGACACGTTCACTTACATTCAGAGTTAAACAGTTTATTTATATGAATTTTTATTAATTACGTGTGGCAGTAGTTTCACTATCACTTGAAGTGAATATTCACTCGTTTAGAGTTAGATTTCACTCTAAGAAATTTAAATGTACCATCATTCGTACACATTTGTGTATTAACATTCAAAATAAATTAAATAATAAAAATAAAAGAGAGTATAAAATGTGTCGTGGAAATGAAATTATTTTATACTTATTCTTCAGTGTGTGAAGTTAGCATCCCGACATGTAGTTCCGATAGTTCCGATTAGAGGTCTAGTTTCCTTTTAAAGAGCTTAAGAGTTCTTTATTATTAATAAAAGGAATTCCGTCGATTAAGAGTTCTAAATTTAAATTTGAAAAATGGATTGCTTATTTCTCATCGAAAATCAAGATTGAATAGTTCCGAATAGCTTAATTGCTTATTGTGCATGGTACTAGAATTCCTGATACTTAAAAGAAAAAATTAGTCGAGCAAAAAAAATAAAAAAATTTTTGAAAATTCAATTTTGATATACATACAATAGTTCTAGCAAATTTTTAATGTTCCCTTATTTATTCCTAAGAGTTCTTGCCAATTAAGATTTCACTCTAAGAAATTTAAAAAGATTAAAATGTATTATCTTCGTACATATTTGTGTATTAACATTTATTTCATAGTTATTCTTATTTAAATATAAATAAGTATACAAAAAAATATAACATAGCACAATATAAAAATTCAATTTAAGAATAAGCAGAGATGCATTCATGTTTATATAATTTATTTATATATAATTTATATATAATTTTTGGTTTTTTTTAAATTTTTTTCTTCTTTTAAATTGTAATATTTAATTACTATATTATTGTAGTGTTCAAATTATAAAAAAAAAACTCCTGATATATTATAATACAAATAAAAATGTCGAGAAAAAATAATAATAAGAAAACTGATACTTATATTTTATCCGTCAATGAAAACTGAATGCAAGTGACAGAGTAAAATGCGTTAAAATGCGCCAACTCTTCGATTAAAAATGTCAAAAGTCAGCAAGTTTAATTAGTGGACTAAAATCTTTTACGTTAGTATATTTGCAGGTTAGCAAAAAGTCATTCGAAAATTGACATTGGTTTTGTTTTAAAATACGATACAAAAAGAAGATGAGCTAGAATAATATTGAATACCTGTTGACGATGCTTCACTCATTCGGTTTAATCTTTCGATTATCCGCTATTACGATAGTAATATGATGTTTCGTTCTATGCGTTTGTTATTTTACGAGAATGGATAGCGCGTACTCCGTGCTCGTGAACTTACTGAGCTCCAGCGTAATCTGTGCTGAAAGTTGTACTGTTGTAGAACGACTTGCCGATCTCTCTCTCTCTCTCTCTCTCTCTCTCTCTCTCTCTCTCTCTCTCTCTCTCTCTCTTCGTTTTTAACTTCTTCCTCTATCTGTTTTCCTCCCCACCTGCACGTAACTGTAGCTGTTACACTGGGCTACATATTTGTTCTTTGTGCCAATTATCCGATTATGATTAACTATACTCTGTTGAATTAATTAATATTGCTTCATTAGCTTGCGCATTAAAAGTAAACAAAAAGTTATTTGAGCATTAAAAGTGAACAAAAAGTTATTTTCAAAGTTTCTTTAAAATGTCATTCAGTGTTAAATAACTTTAGTCACTTATTAAATGTAAAACATTTAATGCAGGAGATTTAATACATAGTTGATGTAATTGAAATATGGAATATATAAATTTATGAAATTATCAGACAAAATACTGATATTTTATAAAAATATTTAAATACTTTGAATTCTTTTATATGTTTGACAAAATTTGTATCAATATAAAAAGTTTCATTAAAATAAATACAAAGAAATTTAAAAAATTGAAGAAATCGTTTAATATTAAAAACAAATAAGATAAAAAGGAAATAAACAAAAAAAAAAGAAAAAAGAGAAAGTAAGCTATTGTATTCTATTACATTTTTCTCTATTTTACTATTAAAATAATACGTAAACTCTATTTAATTTTATCTTATTTCATTTTTTAATAAAGAGAAAGATAAAATATTTTAATATCTCTCATCATTAAAAAAGAATTTTCGGAATATATCAATATGTTGTTATTTATATAAGAAAGATATTTAAAATAATGAAAAAAGAAAAGAGATGTGAAATATTCAAAGTACACTCATGAAACATATACATTGACTTTGCAATAATTAGAATAAAAAAAATTTATTGTTTATGCCATGAATTTTATGGAATGCATGCCTTATTTGCGAGAAATTTGATGCTAAATTTTAAGTTTAGAAAAATATTGATTTAGAAAATTAATTATTGATTTAGAAAAAATATTGAGGAATTCCGATTTATAAAATGTGTGATTAATTATTAAAAAAACAAGATACTTCTTTTATCAACCTTTAATCTTTTATGTAAGTTTTATAATGTGTATGATCTATTACAGGTATACTATTCTTACAAAGTATTTAATATTTATCGTGTGCCAGTTACATTTGTTTTGTTTTGTGTATCCAAATATTATTAAATAATCACAATCTGTGATCTCAATGCATAACAAAAATTAAAAACTCGTATTGTCAAAAAAAATATAATATAATATAAACTGATTATTTCTTTGATTTTTTTAAATTATATAATTAATTATTAATTATTAATTGTATACATCTGATCTAATGACACATTAGCAGAATGAAGAAAATAAAAATATAATGCAATATAGTAAAAATAATTACAAGGATCTTCGGCTGTATCTTATATAACATTTGCTGCACTTCAGTTAAAATAAATCTTCATTAAGATGATTAGCATGAAAGCCGTCAGCATGATAGTTCATAAAATACATTTGAAATATCTACAAGAAATATCTGCTAAGAAAATAATGATTTTATTGATGAAGATTATCATGATACGTATTATGCTCGTTATAATCGTACTCAGTTTAATAATTACGTTTATATAATTTGACTTACATACTAAGGCTATCTGAAATACATTAACAATTACATATATTATTACATAAACAAGATACATATGTACATAAAAGTAATGAAATAAATTATGACGAGAACTAGAAAGCGAAAGTGTGTTACGATATCAAATCATACTGTTTTATTACTTTGTGAGAAAAAGAATGAAAGTGTAAAATTTAATTGTCCGATGTATTTTCTCGGTCAAACGTTAGTATGCTTAATTATAATGTATTACTTAACATTAGTACGACACGATAAAAATTGATACATTTTTATTCTTTCGGGATAATTAGTTTTTCATAAAATTTCTTATAAATCAATGTGAATAATGAATATATTAATTATCATAGTTTTTTACTATTTTTAAATTATTATAAAATATTCTATTTTAACCTTATTACATTATGATTTTTGCATAAACATAATAAAGATACACACACGCACACACACACACGTATACATATGTACACATATATATATACACACACACACACACAAACATATATATGTATGTTTAAATTATATATTTTAAATTATACTATATATAAAATGAAAATTTTAATTGATGTCAACAAGTTAACAGAAAGAAAACGGATAAAAAGATTAATAGACGCATTTCTTTAATAGAGACTTATCTTTTTTTAGGAAAAACATAAGAGCGAGCAGTGCACTTACGATACAGGCTAAGTGACAAACCTTTCACAATTTTACTATCTATAGCTATATATGGTATCCAGTTCTATAATTGGATAGGAAGTAATTCTACCGGTCAACATGAAAAAAATGAGTATGAGTTAACTGCACTTTCACAGATTGCGCTGCGTCAATTTCGAAAATGCATATGTAACTGTAATGCATGAGTAACTGATAATTATTGCTCTCTAACGTTTCAATGCTCATATTAATAATTTATAAACAATTCAAAAGATGCACGTCAATTCCAAGTGAGTGCATATGAATAATAAACACCCCGTAATTAATTAATTAAAATATCTTTCTCTTTCCGTCTGTTTCTCTTCGTGCACAAACCGAAATGAATAAATTGAACTTGTATAATGAATAAATTCGATGGGTAAATTTAATTCATTGGATTATAAAATTGACATATGAAGTGTTATAAATGAAAAAAAGTCATTCGTGAGATGATTAAAATAATGTTTGTCAGAATTTAATGAAACTCGATAATCAAAATTTTTTCTATAAGACAAATAGATATTTAAGACAAAGAAGTACCTTAAAAATAAAAAAAAGAGAGCACAATTTAAAATAATAGCATTAAAAAAATATTTTGCAATATAGACGTATTCAATTTTTTATAAAATTTATAGACTCTTTTTTAGATAGTAACATATTTTATGTGTATTTGTAATCTATAATATATAATCTATAAAAAAATTTATAAAATATTTTATAATTATATACATAGTATATTCTTTTATAATTATTTGTTTAATAATTTTTATATTTATTAAATACTTTTTAATTGTTAATAGTTTGAATAATATGTAAACGTTAGCCATACATAGAAAATATTTGCGAAAAAAATCTCTAAATACATTCTAAAAATTTTAACAAGCTTGATATTATATTATCCTTTTTCATATATTTATTTCGCTAAGAATATAATAAAATAGGATATATAGAATTACGCATATGCCTTGAAAATTGATTTATTAAGCCTTGAAATTTGCTATATCAAGCAATCAGTGAAATTAATTTTTTATTCGAAGATATAACACACTTACTGATGCTAGCAAAAAATATAGTTTAAGCAAAATGTTTTACGTAAATTAATAAAAAAAATTAATAAAAAATTAATAAACAAACTCTCAACATAATGTTTATTTCATGTGACGCGTTAATAAAAACGTAATATGTTAATAAAAATTCAACATAAACATGTCTAAAGTTTATAATAAAATTTATAATACTTTATATATAATTTATTTATAATTACATTTAATCTACATGTTAAATAATCGATTTAAATATGTAGTAAATAAGACACAAAGGAAATAAAATATATTAAACATATATTAAACATATATTAAATGTTTGTAAGAAGAAACACTTGTTGTAGAGAAGTTATTAAAAATTTATATAAAAATTTACAGTTAAATTAATTAATTTCAATATTTATATAACTATATTTCTTCTATCAAATTGTTATATTTAATTAATATTAAAATTTAAAAGATTATAAAAATTAATTTGTATAAATAATTTTAAAAATATAAATTTAGAAGTAAGAGTGACAAATAGATTATAAATCAATTTCAGGAGAAATTTAATTCAACAAAATTTGATTTATATAGAATATATAAAGTTATCACATTAATAATAATCTCTTCTGCAAATTTTTCTTGAAAAAAAATGTAATTGCAAAAATTTATTTAAAATATTATCATTAATAACGATCCATTAGAATATGATCCAAGCTTATATATTTATATAATTTTTTATATTAGTTTAATTTTATATTAATTTTATATTAATTTTTTATATTAATTTAACCATTTAATTTATTACAAATTAAGACTCAATTTTAAGCTGATATTGTAGGAATAAAAGATTATATTTTGCAATTGCAATGATTATGTATGTTGAATATTATTTTATGTCAGCTAATATTATATAGAATTATTATTGTTATATATCACATAAATTTGATTTTTCAAACTGAAAATGGAACTTATATAATTAGAATTTTCCATTTTTCTTTTACAATAATAAGAAGTGATTATTATCGAGAGTGTAGTAAATTGTGTATATAATAATTGAATTGTTACGTAAAATATAATGCGACGTATTTATTGAGATATATTTCGCTGTATTTTTCATCAAATATAAAGATTACGGACTTATCTAATTCCAAATAAATTTAGCGTTCTAATTCCAAATAATTTAATGTCTTAATATTTTATATAATATTTAATATATAATATTAAAACCTTATAATATTTTATAATATTAAAACTATCCAAATTATACATAATAATTATACATAATAATCTTACATAATAATCTTACATCTTACATTATTACATAATAATCTTGAATAATTGCATATACTTTACAATAACATTTATTTTTACTATAATAATAATGTAATTACTGTAATGATAGTCATTTTTTACTGTAAAGAGGAAAACAGCAATAATTATATAAATTCTAATTATAGTTTGAATAAACAAATTTATATGATATCCAATAATAATAATTCTATATAATATTAGCTGACATAATGACAACATATATATAATATAATCATTACAATTATTAAATATTAATTAAGAGATTGAGGATATTATTACAATTATAAATTTATTTTTTTATAATATAAATTTATGCGTAATTTATAAATATTTTAATAGATTTTATTTAAAAATATAATTAAATAGCAAAATTTTATTTATCTTTCAAATTATTTATTATATTTAAACATTATCGAAGTAAAACAGAAACTTTAATCTCTTTTAGTTATTATAAAAAAAAATTAGAAAGAAATTTCTTTTATGTTATATTCTGATGATATATTTGTCTCTTTTATGATGTAAGACATAATACTTAATATTTTACTATTTCGAATCTTTGATTTCTATGTTGCGTAAATATACAATATATAATAGTCCAATTACTATGATACTTCGTTGCAGTTTGCTAACTAATTGTTCATAATTACATAAATGCACAATATTATAGCATAAATAAATCATCCAAAGGTTAAAATTATTATATGATCAAATTACACACGCATACACCCACACGTTTGTCATTTTTAATATAATTTAATAATTTTAAGTGAATATGAGCAATTATTATTGGATGTTAGAAATATCATTCTTTAAATAACATTTAGCGTTCAGGCGAAATTCAAAGTAAATATTTCGAATCAAATACATTTCTTAAAGTTATACTTGCAATATATTTATTTTGTTATGCTGATAAGGATTATTTAAACGGAATTTTATTAATTTTATATATACATATATACATATACGTATATATATATATATATATATATATATATATATATATATAATATTTTTAATAGATATACATATGTTTTATTTTCATTAATTTTTATATAGAAGTTCAAATAATACACTTACCAAGATAATTTTTTCTTATTAATTTTCACAACTTGATGTTAGTTAATATTAATTTTAATCGCTGAGATAACTTTTTTTAGCTTTTTATACACATATACGTACGTATAAATAAATTATTATAAATCGTTATAAATCATTATAAACTAAAATGATATTTAGTTTTTAATTCACATGCATACGTTTTAATTATTTACACGTTTTAGCTCCAAAGCATTGTAAATTCGTCGCCTATATAATAAATTTAAAATTTCGCGCGCAATAAATCTTAGTAACGGCGCACACGCAGTATGCATCATTACTGACGTTTGACGTTTGAGTCTGCGATGACAATAAAGAGAAAATATGTACGAGTTTTCAGATTAATGAATTGCCTTCGCGATCACGATTTAATATTTTACTTACATTGAATGATATATCAGAACCGGGACATGTTTAATATTTTTTAATACGATAACAAATCGTTTTATACATACGTTTTAAACTTATATGTTTTTAACCTATAATATACATACTTTTTGTGTATTTAATTGCGTATTATTAGTAAAATGTCATCTTCTCATACGACAGAATTGACTGAACAATTAGTTAAAGATTATGCGAATTATGCCAAAGTGGATTGGGACAATCAGGCGAGTGTATCATCTGTTTCTTGCTGTTTAAATAATTTTTTGTGATTATTTATTTTAATTAAATAATACGGGCTTGCAGATGAAAAATTTCCGTGACATTGTTGAAGATACATTGATTCGACTAGAGGAGTTTCAATCAATTGTTACAATGGTTAGGAAATATTCAGATAGAATACAAAACAACTTGGTAACTACAATTCATATTTTTTTAAACATCTTATTCTAAGGTGGAGAATGGCAGTACAGAGTGCATACAGCAGCATCTCCCAAAATTGCAACACATGAAAGATGGTATGGCGAGTCTTTGTAAAAGAATAGATGCATTGGAACATGTCGTCGCAATGGCCAATATAAATTTAAGTTCGTTAGAAGCTGCTGTAGACAAAGCAGAAGCTGAATTAGGCGTATCAGATAGATTATTTGGGATACTAAACCCTTTATCATTCTTTGTAAGTATCATTTAGAGAATATTTTTTGTGTAATATATATTTTAAATTATTAAATAATTAAAAATTATGTACCTTTTACACATATATAAAACTTACTATATGCTTTTTTCATATATTAAAATTATATAATAATTCTTGAAATGAAAAAAAATACTTGAATTTGATTTTTTAACATTTCAGAAAAAAACAACTCAAGAACCTGTAGTGTCAAATGCAACACCAATGTATAAATCACCAGTAATTTACAGGTCTGATGACTATTTTCAAAGAGAATAAAATACATGTACATATGAATAGAAAGTTTGAGAATCATATATAATATATCTAATAATTCAGATTAAATTCAAAAAATAAACTTAAGTAAATTAATGATATTTAAATATAACTGTGAAACAAAGTTAAAGTTGTTTGAATAAATTTGATTTTTATTTTTGTGTCATGTATTAACGGTTTGTCATAGGAATAATAGCTATTTAATTGAAAACATTTTATATGTGTGTCTGTTTTTTATCATCAATATAATCATATATAATATATTATACAATTTCAATTTTCATATTTCTAGATTATAAAGAGATGCTATAAAAAGATTATTTAATTTCTCTTTTTTAAATTTTCTAAAAATGCATCCCAATTCTGTTATGTCTTGTATAAAATATTACATGCAATTTTTAGAAATAAGAATATATTTGTTTTTATTGATAACATTATATATATACTATTATCCTTAGAGTGTCTATGCAAAATATTTTAACATGCTGCGGAAGTGCAAGTTTTTAATTGAGCTTTCTTTTCGCCTAAAGAACAACTTCCACTTATGCAATGTCTCCATCTCATAATTTTTCCTATTCCACAAGTGACGCTGCATGTGGACCAATTGCCCCATTGATCCCATATTTTTGGTTCTCTGTCGTTTTTTCCTGTCGACATAATTTTTCGTACTTATGATTTCATTTGTATAATATGTAGATCAAATTTTAATGACTAAATTAAGATTAATGAAATATCTTTTTATATAAGTTATAAATTGATAAAAAAATTTATGAAAATTTTTTTGTGTGCGAAATGTTATCAAGAAAAATTATTATTATACAGTTTTTAATTTATAAAAAACTTTATACTTTTTTTACAAAATTTCAACTATGAACAGTGTATGGAAGTTTCCATTACATGCTGTTCATGCATGGCGATAACTTTCACTCGTTTGTTCTCCAATGGGAGGGCTAGGTTAAAAATTAAAAGAAAACATTTCAACGCTTCCTATAGAATTTACGTTCACTTAAATTTTATTATACGTCCTTTCACTGGTTGTGCTTCAATATAGGTCAAATCAAATTTTATCATCTAGACGTTTTAATAAAATATTGCCTCCTTAAATAAAAATAAATGAAAAAAAGAAAAGAGAAAATTATACGAAAAGTCATGAAAAGAATTTTTGCAGTTAATATTGGCAAGAATCTATTCATAAAAATTGCAGAAAAGAAGAAACATTATAGCCAAACATTATAGCATTATAGCCAAGCAGACCACAAATTTCCAGCTCAAATGTTTATATACATTTCGATGATCGGTTTTGTGAGAAGGTAAATCTCGAACCGGTCTTGGAGAAAGCTATCATTAAGCATATACGATTTGTGGTACCTTGCAGTACCTTGTCTTCTCATGCTTATTCTTATTTATTTACTATCTCTTGTGTTACATAATTATAATCGTACTAAATTATAATCTGTCACATATTAATAATTAATCATCAACTCATTCGTTAAGCTCCTTTCATTTGATATTACATAATTACAGCAAATATCAAGAGGTAAAATATTAGTGTTTCGATAAAATATTGTACTTATAGCTTAAAAATAAAATATTGTACTTATAGTACATATAGCTAAAAGTGAAAATTGTTTGGACTATTTAAATTTTATATTATATATACATAATATAAAATTTAACATTGATAAATATATACATACAGATAAATAATAATTTACTGCAGTTATATAAACATTTTCCATGAAATATATATATATATATATATATATATATATATATATAATCCCTTATTTTTATAATTATATATATTATACATTTATTAATTATATTTATACATTTATTAATTATATTTTTTCCTATCGATGTACATGTACAATTTTATCTGTGCAATTGATATTATTTACCTGCTCGTTTTATCTGTTTTGGAATGTCGTTATCTTCGTCCTGGATATAGTGATTTATATTATAATTTTTATGTCGCGGTCTCAATTTGACCTCCAGTTTATTTTTGATATTACTTTCTAATGTATTAATATTTGATGATATTTTGCCAATTTCCAGAGTGACTTCCTTGAATACTAAAAAAAATTTCATTATAAAAGAATGACAATAAGATATGTTTTCAACATATAAATATATCTCAGCAGTGTGTTACCCATAAAAAGTAAAAATATAATAAAATGAGTTGAAATTAATCGAATTCTATTCATATTAATGTAATTTTTTGTATTCAATTTTGTAATCAATTTTATTGTGTTATCATATCAAAGTTTGCTTCATATTATTTTATTTAATCCGTACATAATAATCTGAAGTTTTCAACGAATAAAAAGCCATCGAGAGAGAAAGAGAGAGAAAGAGAATTGTTATGTTATTAAATATATACTGTTGTTATAAAATTATAATTCTCTCTCTTCTTCAATATCTTATTAATCTATTTAAATATATATATATATATATATATATATATATTTATATTAAAAAAAAAAATATATATATATATATTTTTTTTAATATTCCAATGTTTCAAATATACATCAAATATACTAAGCACATACAAAATATATATATACACCTTTCAAATTTGCTTTAAAATACATATTTTAATTCCGATATCACTAAATGCAATTTTTGAAAAATTTTTGAAAAATAATTGAAAATATCGAAAAAATATCTACAAATAGCAACAATATGAGATTAGCTTATGAGGATCTTTTATCCGTTCATAACATTTTTAAGATTATTAATATAATTTTTGTACAACAATATATGTTGGGTAAATTATTATTCACCTTCACACATATCAAGGTTTTATTCCGAGCCAGCCAAAAAAATTTTTAGTTCCGCAATCCTTGAGACGACAACTTTTTAATTGAGCCTTCTTGAGACCTTTGATGCAATATTCAGACAAACAATGACGCCAACGAACTTGTCGTCCTTGTCCGCAAGTCACGCTGCACGCACTCCAATTATTCCAATTGTCCCACATTTCTGAGTCTACGACAAATGGAAAAAAATAGAGTTTGTCGTTTTTCAGATTACCTTACTCCGATCTTATGTAAACAATGAATTAAAATGTGAATCGATCGGAATTCAGCTTCTGAAGTTATATTAATTTAAAAAATTCAACTTCGCAAAAATAAATATTTTTCCTCTCATTTTCGACTTTACTTTTTAATTTTTTTTTTCGAAAATATGTTATCGCTTAAATAAGCGTGTCTCATCTCACCCTTATCTTTATTATCTGTCGGTTCGATGTCCCTTGCAATATCGCGTTTCCACTTCGTTGATTCTCTTGTCGCGATAATTTCTCGTTGCATCTCGTTAGATTTATGATGTCTCGTGGGCCGTGCATAAAAATTTCCCTCGTAACTGAGTAACTTTCGCTGGTACATTCCACTAGTATTCGTGCGAGAACATAGATGCGAATTTCTCTTTGTATTTTTGCAATGATATTGTTTCGGTAACTTTTCAATTTTTATCTAAAGAATGAGACATTAGATAAAAATAAAAAATGTACATATGCGACGTAAAATATAAATAGAAATCGAAATCTCTTTCTTAAAATTGCAATATTAGATTAAAATTCGCATAAATTTTTAAATTTCATTCCTATTTCGCGAACCTGCTCAGAGTTATTTGCCGTAAATCGGATGGGACGCTGACATAATCGCGAATAAATGTCAAAATAATAACTCCGTTTATTGCTGAAACACATCAAACTATTGAATAAATCATATTGACAAGTATTCTAGTGAGATGAGAATATTTATTCCTCTTTTATGACGCGACCGAGAAATTGATTTCTGCGGTATGCAAAACAAGATGTTCATTCCTTGCAATCATCCATGGAAAGGGTGAAGAATTTACAAGTTTATTACAATGTGCTTTGCATATAGTAATGTGCACGGATAATAGCTTTTTAATGACGTATAACCTCGCAATTTTACCTTTGAGATTCATTATTCAAATCAGTAACTGATAAAATTACGTTCTTTTTCGGTAAGTCAATCGCAACTGTTTTTATGATATAGAGTTTTGAAAAGCTGTATACTTCATAAATGACGCATCCGAAATAAATATTACACAATAATATTAATGTGAATAAAAAATATTTGCATATCATATTTTGAATTCTCGCACAATTATGTATGTGTGAACACATATATATATATGACTCTATAACAATTTTGCCTAAATTCACAATATGAATATTTTAAATAAAATATGTCTTTCATAATCAAATAAAAATCAGAGCTAGATAAATATTTTTGCAAATATGAAGAAAAAATAGATTTTCAAATCAAGCCATTTTTGCATAATGCTATTGTATTCTTCTCTTTGTTTTTATTTCTAAAAACTTTGTTAGATTGTTCAAGTTTTATCATAATATTACAATTTAATCACTATTTTTAGAATAATATATTGACAAATATTTTCACATACACAATTGCTATTGTTTCTGAGACTTTAAGAAGATATATATATATTTTGTTATATATATTTTGATATATATTGTTGTATATATTAAATTATAATAATTAAATCTGAATATTTTAACAAAATTTATATAAAGTAGAATATTAATAATCTTGTGATAAGAACAAATGGTAACAAAAATATAAATTACATAAATTTGTATTAAAATTATATTATATAAATTATAAATTGCAAGTAATTCATATATATCTGTTGTAATTTATTAATATTTACCATATAAATAAAAATATAAATAAGTATCATCAAAATGTATATTATACTTGTAATATATATTTCCGTATGAATCTATATATTATATTTAGATCGGAGATGTATGTAGTTCTGAGTAAAATATTTTTCTATTATATCTGTTTTATATACTTTGGTGATTTACAACTGTTGTGTGATTTTCAATTTACAATTATTATATCAGAAGGATTTGTTAATAGTATAAAAATATACATTCAGTTTATATTCTAATTTAAATATGAAAGCACAAATTAGCTGTCAATAAAATATATATGCCTATAAAATATTAAAAATTTAATATACTAATCGAGAATATAAACAGCCCAGACAGCATACATAAAGACGACTTAAAGACTTTTTTGTGCTGTCTGGAAGTATATTTCGAATATATAAACAAATTCTAAAGTAATTCTGCAAATATATACAGAAAATAATAGTAGTTTTACAAGAGATGTAAAAAATTTTGATTTCTTACTAATTATATAATTTTTACAAGTTTGCAAATTTCAATATTGACAGATTTCTTGATAAAAAGCATTTTACTAACATACCATAAATGTAAACTAATTATAGTCTAAAAAAAGCTTTATACGCCCGGCCATTCGGTATTTGACCTTGTAGCCTTAATCTGCGAACAGCTTCTCTCAAATGTTTCGGTTGTAATGGGCCAGTTTCATTTTGAGTCTCCATAACATCTAAAGCTGTAGTTAGAAGAATATATAATATAATATCAAATCCTAATAATTAAAAAAAAAAAAATATATATATATATATATATATATATATATATATATATATTACATAAGAAAGTCTATACCTTCTTCAACAATTTCGCCAACAAATACTTTAGCAATTCCTGACATAGCTATGACAACATTCTGAGATACTGAACAACCTGTTATGGTTTGCATAATCTGGAAAAAAATGTTTATTATCAGAACTAAATGCATAAACTTTTAAAAAAATGAAAAATAATTATTTTTATAAATAATAACTAAAGCTAAAAGTGCAGTACCCTTTTTATAGCTGCTTTTGGAAATGCTGATCGCCTATACATCTCATATCTGTCCAACTGATCTTCAGTAAAATTAGATACTAATACCCTATAAAAATAAAATGTGGTTATTAATATTTCCAAAGCAATATAAATATCAAATATACTTTTAAAAATTATATATACTGCATCTTCTCTCGTTCTTCTTCCTCTAGCTCTTTCTTGCTTTTTTCTTTACTTTCCCTCCTTTCTTTTGTGTTGACTAGATTTGCACGAGGTAACATGATATCATTACCAAATATATCTTCCGCAATCTGCTCTTCCTTTACATTAAGTTTCTGTTTTTCAACTTCTTCAATTTGTTCTGTCACAATTGGGCATATAGAATTTGATCCTGTATTTTCATTCTCCTCTGTATCCGATTGCGACTGAGAACTCATTGCATCAGATTCTGTCTAGAATATATAAGATTAATTAATTTATTTAAAGATACATTTAAATATATATAAATACTGAAGAAACTGAATTTTTTCAATCGTATTTATACTTTGACTTGTGCACTATCGACATCCATAACTTCAGTATCTTTAGATCCTGAGTTTTGTGAAGGACTATTTTTATCATCTTTGTCCTCGATATCATTATGCTCACTTTCATCTCCAGAATCTTCCTTCCCAAAGATATTATCCATTATTCTAATTTTAAAAAAATATATATAATTAGGAATATTAATGTTCTAATACACACATATTAAGAACATGTTAATAAATGACATTTTATTAATCAACAATATTATATAGTATTTTAATATACTTCTCTAATTAAAATTTTGTATATCTTTATTAATATGAAACATTATTTCGTAATTTAATAGTATATATTGCAATATATAATCAAAAGTATAAACGTTTTACAAATTACTTGAAAAAATCGATAGCAAAATAAATTACTCCGATATCGTTTTTAGGTTACTTTTAATATTTACATTAAACGTAATAAAAATACAAAATTTTAATGCAATATATATAAATTCATTATGATGAGACAGTAAAATGACCTTTCTGTCACTAATATTAATTATGCTACAATATATTTTTAAGCGGGAAACAATATATTGACAATAAACATTTGACAATACACGATATGGACACGCGACCACCAGTGATTGTACAGAATATAGAATATAGATCGTTGTTTAATTTCTATACTTCACTTCGGCTGTGTTCGTATCACATTCGTTTAATTCGTTGAAAGCGATTGACCAATCGGAGCAAAGATTTATTTTTTCTCGATAAATCTCGAATTGCGACCAATCACGAATCAGGTAAATATTCTCAGTCAAAGTTGTGTCGCTATTATTCTTCATTCTCATTGAAAAATAAACTTTGTAAAAATCTCAATCATTAATTTATGAAGATATATTAATTCAATAAATAGCGTGAAAATTCTCGTAATTTATTTAAATAAATCTATGCATATTTTTGTTTTTTTCTCACCTACATATACAAGGTGTATCTTAAAAAGTTCCTACGAAGCAAATAGCGTTATTCCTGATTAGAAACCGAGTCGAAAAGTCATGAACCAGTTTTTTTCTATAATGCTTAATAAAACAGTAATTAATGATTAAAGTCGCGTCAATAAAAAGACAAATTTCCTTGTTATCAACATATCAAGATTTGGATAAGCAAAAAAATAAACTGTTTTGTGTTAATTTTTAAACAATTCATCTTTTCAGAAATCTTTTTAATACTTAAACCTGATTATTTAATGAATCTTGGAAAAAAATGGTTCAAGACTTTTCGACTCGATTTTTAATCAGGATGAATAATAACGCTATTTGCTTAGTGGGAGCTTTTTAAGATACACCCTGTATATTCTAAAACGATCATCCCTATAAGCACTCAATATTCTTAGGATATTGTATAAATATTATTAACTGTTAATAATCTTTATACAACATTTTAGGAATATTGTGTCTTATAGGAATACGTTCCTTCGCATACACTTTATCTATATTATTTATATTTGATACTTTATCTATATTATATATATTTAACATCGTTTCAAATATGTAATTAAATTTCCAATATAATTGTATAAAATTCATATTTTTTTCATATTATGAATATTCAAAAACAGCTGAACCGAGCTCTGAAATCTAAGCACGCTCGTTACGTCGCGACATTACCGACTATCGATCATATCTATTCCTTATATATCAGGGGGTCCATTTAGGATAATATTACATTTGTCGTACGACAAATTTTTTAAGCACACTGACTGGCTGCAGAATAGAAAATTTTTAAAGATTCAAAAAATGATTATCCCGCAACCAATCAATGTGCTTAAAAAATTTGTCGTACGACAAATGTAATATTAGCTTTAGAGCTCGGATAATCGAGAACTCTGCCTCGAGCCGCGCGAATCTCCCGTAACACCTGAATATCGATGACGAAACACGGCGGGTCGCGTTAGTTCCGAGAGTCGCCGCGCGGTGGCGCTGGCAAGCCGCGGCGAGAGACAGACAGGCGACGGTGTCGCGCGACGCCGCGAGTATTTGTCAATATTCCGCTCGGGATTTTCGGCGTTCTGCGTGTCGGGCGCGCATGCAACGCGCCGCGTAAACGCACGTATATCCGCGCGGTTCGCGTTTCACGCAGGAGGTCGTCGTGCGCTTTTCGCGTCTCGCGTCTGTTGCCGACCGGGTGCTTCTCGGCGGGCGGGCCTCTCACCTCCAACGAACGGGTGGTCGCCGTCGAACGAACGAACGAACGAACGAACGAACGAACGAACGAACGAACGAGCGCAACGCGACAGGACGGGACGTTGCGAACCTGGCCGAGCGAACGAGTTCGGGAGTGCGCGTATAGTAGTGTAGTAAGTTGTAGTAGTAGTAGTACGATACCTGTGTGCAACCGTTCACGCGAGTGACGATATCCCCGCCGTCCCGGGGGGAGGCTCGCACGAGATACAGTGACGTATCTGGCGGATAATACGCGCGGAGCAGCAGCCAGGAGCGGTGATCGCGATACCTAGGTCCAGCCACGGAGCGTCCTTCTGCCCACGAATGTGGTCCGCGACCGGGCATTAAGATGTGAGTACATTTGCTTTTGTGGTGTCGAGTCTTTCTCCCTCTCTCTCTCTCTCTCGCACGCGAGTTATGGCGAGCGGTAGCCTTACGAGGGAAAGGGTTTCGTCGACGATTACCGCCGTGGCCTCGTCGACCGTATTGTTATAAACACAAACAGATTGGCGGTGTATGCAGGTTCGCACACATACATGTATGTATGCGTATGTGCGCACCGTGGTGCGCTTTGTGCATATATAAGGTGTACGAAAAATTTCCGGACGACGTGGCATCTTCTCGTGACAAATTTCAAGCGAATTCATTTTACTCCCAACTTCCCTACGATTTGCAAAAAACGGAGGGAGTATGCGTTTCAGCTCGAGTCGGTTCTTATCGCTATTCTCGATAACGTGGTTCGGTTCATCTTTTGCACATCAGTTTGTTATTAACCAAGGATGGTTTAGAACGTATAATTATTTCATGACACTTTACCAATCTTTTAAAATTTAAATAATCAAAATTTTAATCAAATAAATCTCAAATAAAAACTCGCGAGAGCAAAATCTAGGAAAGAGTGAATTGGATGACGGATTATGTGTTTCACGATTGCTGTTAATTTTCCGGACAGATCCAAGAGAAACTTTCTCCGTCGATTCTCGAACACCCTATACAGGGTATCCCATTTTAATGTCCCATCCCAAATAACTTTCTTATTTTTAATTTTAGAAAAAGATGTTTCAGACAAAAGTAGTTGGCTTGAAGAGGGACATAAGATGGTGCCATTAATTTGACCTTGAAGAGACACCTGAAGGATACGTGAGGATCACCTCCAACTTTTTAAATGGGATACCCTATATACTTTTACATATTCTTGTAGCTTGCCTCAATAACTTTCCAAAACACTATAATAAAGTATTTTTTCATTGAGTACTTTTCGAGTTAAGAGGCTTGCAATAATTTTTTAATTTTACATAAATCGTAAAATATCTTGTAAAATATTCATTTTTCGATTATTTTACCTTAATACTTTTATGTACAAAATAATGAGAGAAATCAATTGGTGTAAAGAAAACATACAGTTGTTTTTAAGAAAAAATATGTAATTTGCAATTAACAATTTCATATTTTTTCTTAAAAACAACTGTATGTTTTCTTTACACCAATTGATTCCTCTCATTATTTTGTACATAAAAGTATGAAGGTAAGATAATCGAAAAATGAATATTTTACAAGATATTTTATGGTTTATGTAAAATTAAGAAATAATTTCAAGCCTCATAACTCGAAAAGTACTTGATGAAAAAATGTTTATTTATAGTGTTTTGGAAAGCTCTCGAGATAAGCTACAAGAATATGCAAAAATATATAGGGTGTTCCATTTAAGAAATTCAAAATGACCTTCACGTAATCTTCATGTGACTCTTCAAGGTCAAACTAATGACACCACCTTATGTCCCCCTTGAAACCATACAACTTTTGTCTGAAACATCTTTTTCTAAAATTAAAAATAAGAAAGTTATTTGGGGTGGGACATTAAAATGGGACACCCTGTATATGACGTCGCCTACGCTCGCGCGTGCATGCGCGTCGGTGTAAGTGCGCGCGTCGGTGTAAGTGCGCGCGCCGCTGCTCCATTCGTGTGTTCGACACACATGTGTGTTCCATCTCTCTCTGTCTGTCCATGTCTTGCTTCCTTTTCCTCTCGTTCTATCTTTCTCTCTCTCTTTCTCTAGCGCCGCATTTAAGGGGATATACGTGACAGGTACATGCGCGCGTGGAACCGGTCGGCCGACACTTTGGACGCCACTTTTTGCAAAAGGGCCGATCTACTCCGTCCTCTCGCCCCTTCCCTCTCCCCCTGCGTTATTTCTATCCTCTTTCCTTTGTACCCTTCACTTTCCTGTCCGCGGTTTCTTCTTGCCTAATCGCAATTCGCTTTCGCGAAGCGTGCAACTGGAGTAAGATATGAGAAATGGGAGAATTAAGATACAAAATTATACAGGAGGAAGAGAGAAAGATCGATTAAGAAAGGGCGATGTGAAGAATAACCTGATAAATGATGATGCAGATGGAGACTAGGGAGTATTAACACATTATCATTTCTAACACGTTGTCGTTGTTTACAGATAAATATTTGACAAATGTAAAGAGTATATTGCCGATTTATATTAAAGACTTGCTTATAGTCATCTTAGTCTCTTAAGAACGTATTGGAGATATATTACAATCAATGAGATCGTCGTGAATTTTTAATTTAACATTCTTAATAACATTCTAAATCGTCATGAATTATTTCCAATTTTTTTACTTGCTCGTTTAAAAGTTATTAATTTTTGAATTTTGCGATTTTAACATAGGATCTTATGTAAACGTTCAAGAGACAGGTAATAAATTATTCACAAACTATAAAAAAACAATAATAAAAATTTCATTTTGTAATATTATATTCTTCATACATGTAAAAATGTTCCCACAAAGTTTTAAAACGATTTACTTGCTCGTTTTGAAATTATTATTAAAAAATAACTGTGATTATCGGTTTGACGCAATATTGATGATAAAACGTGGCAACATTTTCTTGGAAATTAAGACCTATTTATATTAAAGAATACTCTGAAGTATGATTTCGTGATTTTTAAAAAATTTTTGATCAATTAGAATTCGTATTCTGCCCAACTTTAATTTTTTGCTACTTTGGATTAACTTTTGAGACAGACGGTCCGTCCAATACATCCTTAAATTTGATTTTAACATTTAACTATCTTACAATCCTTCTCAAAGTTTAGGTGTAAGAAATTAGCACGATAAATTAATATTATTAATTTATTATTATTGAAATTAGCACAATAAATTAATATTATTAATTTATTATTATTGAATTTATTTAAGAAAATTTTATTTATTTTCTACACATGGATAATTTAATATCTGAATTTGAAAAAAAAAAAACATCTTTATATGAAACAAGATCTTGAGGAGATAAAATTTAGACACATGATTATTTCAGTTTGACACAATTTTTGTAATTTTAAAAATATTTGTATAATTTCAATTATATATATATATATATATATATATATATATATAATTA